CCAACCCCCCCGCCCGGCCAGGCCGGGGCCCCGGCCCTGCAGCCCGGCCCCTGCCATGAACACCCCACGCCCTCCAGCCGGCTGGGCTGGACACAGCCCGGGGCGGTGCAGCACGCCGGGCATGTGCTCCAGCCCTCGCCTCCAGTCCCGCATCCTCAGGGACGAGTGCATCCCGAGGGGCCTGCGGGGAGCAGCTCTGCCCGGCCCTGCCCTCCTTCAGAGCCATTTCTGACCCCCTTCTCTCCTGGCCAGCACAGAGCAGCACCGCCTGAACTGGCGCAGCTCTACTACGTGCCACCCCCTTCTGTCATCCTGCCCAAGAGCAGCAGCTATTGCTAGAAGCATGCTGACCACTAAGTGCTGCCTGCTGTCCTCGGCGGTGGCGCCGGGGCCTCTGCCAGCCACAGCCAGATGCTTCTTGCTGAACACGTGCTCGTGGTTGTATTTCGTTCTTCCTGACAGCCTGCGAGGCTGCCTGCCCCAGGCCAGCCCTGCCTGCCCCAGGCCTCAGGCAGGGGATGATCCCAGGGCTGTGGAGCGGGTCGGAGGTGCTGCCGGCGCTGGGACTGACCTGCCAGAACCACTGGATCTGTTTGCTGTTCTTGGTGTAGTGCCGGTAGATGGTGTTCTTCTGCCAGTCGTTCATGTCGATCTCCTGCATGCCGCACAGCATCAGCTGGGGACAGGGGACAGTCAGCAGGGGGACAGAAACAGCGCCCACGCTTCAGAGCGCTGACTCCTCCAGTGCCGGGCTTTGCAAGGCACAGGCTCCAGCACTGGGCAACGGAGGTGTCTGGGAGGAATTCCTCGCCTCCAACGAGACATTTTCTTGCTAATGGACCCAACGAGCCAACCCACAGACCCAACCACCTGGGGCGGCAAGTACCCCCATCGGTAGAGCCGAGGGGCAGAGGGTGCAAGCAGAGCCTGTGCACTCTGCCGTCACCACGTGCCATTCCTGGGGCAGTCTGCGGCGGGGCGGGGAGCACCGGTACCTCTGTGTACCTGTCCCAGCACAGGCGCCAGCTCACCTCCAGCTCCTTCTCGTCAAAGTACCGCAGCCACTCCAGCGGCACCACCTCGTTGAAGCCATCCAGGAAAGCCTTGGTCTGCTCCTCCACGCCCCGCGTGAACCTCCAGTCTGTCAGCAGCCTGGGAAGGAAGGCA